GTCTGCGGCGTCGTGGTCGCCATGGTCGTCCGTAATCGTCGTCAGTCGTCGTCGTCGTCGTTGCGGTCGTCGTCATTATGTAGTCCGTCGTCGTCGTCGTCGTCGTCGTCGTTGTCCGTCGTCGTCGTCTGCCGCCGTCATCGTCGTCATCATTGACGTCGGTGTCCGTCGTCGTCGTCGCTGTCAGTCGTCGTCGTCGTCGTCGTCGTCATCGTCGTGGTCGCCGTCATCGTCGTCGTCGTCGATTCGAGCAGTCGGTCGGTCGGTCCGTAGGCCTGTCTGTCCGTCGTCGCTGTCGCTGTCGTCGTCGTCCGTCGTCGGCGTCGTCGTTTTCGTCATCGTCGGTCGGTCGGTCCGTCCGGCGTCGTCGTCGCCGCGGCTGTCCGTATTCGTCGTCGTCGTCCGTCGTCGTCTTCGTCGTTGTCTTTGGACGCCGTAGTTGTCCGTCCGTCCGTCAGTCCATCGCGTCGTGACGGTCGTCGTCGTCCGTCGCCGTGGTCGTCGGCCGTTGTCGTCGCCGTCGTCGTGGTCGTCGTCGGCATCAGTCATCGTCCGCGTCTTGGTTATCGACGTCTGTCGTCGGCGTCGACGTCGTCGTCGATTGTTGTCGTCGTCGTCGTTTGGTCGCTCGCTCGGGCGGTCGGACCGTCGTCGTCGTCGTCGTCGTCGTCGTCGTCGTCGTCGTCATTGTCGTCCATCATCGTCGTCGGCGTCATCGCCCATCGTCGTCGTCGTCCGTCGTCGTTCGTCGTCGTCGTCGTCGTCGTCATCCGTCGTCGTTGTCGTCATCGTCGTCCGCCTGTCGTTGTGGTCACCATCGTCGACGATGTCTTCGTCGTCCATCCATTGTCGTGGTCGACGTCAGTCGTTGGCGTCCGTCGTAGTCGTCGGTCTTCGTCGGTCGGTCGGTTAGTCGGTCGGACGGTCGGTCGGTCCGTGGTCGTCGCCGTCGTCGTTGTCGTCAACGTCGTCGTCGTTGCCGTCGTCGTCGTCCGAGGTCGTCGTCGTCGTCCGGCAGCGTCTTCGTCGTCGACCGTCGCCGTCGTTGACGAAACCACTCGTCCGTCGTCATCGTCGTCGTCGGCCGTCGTCCGTCGACCGTCGTCGTCGTCGTCGGTCGGTTGGCCGGTCAAACTGTCCGTCGTCGGTCAGCGTCGTCGTCGTCGTCGTCCGTCGTAATCGTTTGTCGTCGTCATCGGCGGCGTCGGTCGTCGTCGTCCGTCTTCGTCGTAGCGGTCTTTGTCGTCGCCGTCCGTCCGTAGACTCGGTCGTCATCGTGGTCGTGGTCGTGGTCGTCGGCCTCGTCACTGTCGTCCGTCCGTCGTGGTCGTGGTCCGTCGTCGTCGTAGTCGTCGTCGTCATCATCGTCCGTCGTCGTCCTAGTCGTGCGTCGGTCGCACGTTTGGTCGGTGTGACCGTCCGCCTTCGGTGGTCGTCGCCGTCGTCGTTCGCCGTCGTCGTTGTCCATCGTCATCGTCGTCCTCGTCCGTCGTCGTCGCCGTCGTCGTTTGTCGTCAGCTGTCGTCGTTGGTCGTCGTCGTCGGTCGGTCAGTCGGTCAGTCGGTCGGTCGGTCCGTCGTGGTCGTCGTCGGCCGTCGTCCGTCGACGTTGTCGTCGTCGTGGTCGTGGCCGTCGATTGCCATCTTGCTCCCGGGAGAGGGAATATCTGGAAGGGTGCGCCGCTGGATCTCCCCAAAGGGGGGGGGTTAGGGGGGGGTTTGCCCCCCCCCCTTCCCCGATCCGTCGTCGGGGACCCCCCCCCCTCCCCCCCCTTCCCCGATCCGTCCCGTCGTCGAGGACCCCCCCCCCCTCCCCCCCTTTCCCCGACCCGTCGTCGGGGACCCCCCCCCTCCTCCCCCCCTTTCAAAAGGGGGGGGGTCCGAACCCCCCCCCTCCCCCCCTTCCGCCACGCCGCCCCCTGACTCCGGAACCCGACCCCCGCCACCCCGATCCCGAGTCCTCACCCTAAGCCAAGCCCCTAATCCGAACCCCAACCACTAACCCCAGCCCCAAAGAGTACTCACCACCCATTACTCACTACCCACTACTGACGACTCGCTTTTCGCTGCTCACTTCTCACTACCCCCTACTCACTACTCACGTCTCAGTACTCACTATCCACTACTCACTACCCACCACCCACTACTCGCTACTCACTACTCCCTACTCACGACTGCCTCCTCCCTACTCACTACTCACTACTCCTTCCTCACTACCCACTACTCAGTACTCACTACTCACTAATCACTACTCATTACCCACTGCCCACTATCCAGTACTCACTACTCACTACCAACTACTCATTGCCCAACAATCACTACTCACTACCCACTACTCGCTACTCGCTACTCAGTACTCCCTACACAATAGTGACCACACAGTACTTTGTACTCACGACTCGCTACTCCCATACTCGCTACTCAATATTCACTACTCACTTCCCGCTACTCACTATTCGCTACCCACTACTTACTACTCCCTACTCACGAGTTTCTACATAGTCTCTAGTCAATAGTCACAACTCACTAGCCACTAGTTACTAGTCACTGATCACCACCCACTACCAACGACGCACCAATCGCTACTCACTACCCACTATTCGCTACCCACTTCTTACTACTCACTGCTCACTACTCCCTACTCCCTACTCCCTACTCACTACTCGCTACTCCCTACTCGTTACTCACTAATCACGACCCACAACTCACTCCCGACTACTCTCTACTCGCTACTCGGTACTCACTCCACCCTACTCGCTCCAAACTACTCACTACTCGCCACTCCCTACTCGCTACTCACTACTCACTACCCACTGCTTCTACCCACTACTCTCTATGTATCACTACTCACTACTCACTACGCACTGCGTTCTACTCAATACTCACCTTTCACTACTCACTACTCACTACTCGGTACTCACTACTCACTGCTCACTACCCACTACTCACTACTCACTACCCACTACTCACTACTCACTACTCACTACGCACTACGCACTACCCACTACTCACTACTCACTAATCACTACTCACCATCCACTACTCACTACGCACTAACTCACTACCCACTACACATTACGCCCTACTCCCTACTCAGTACTCACTACTCGCTACTCGCTACTCACTACTCACTACTCGCCACTCACTACTCACTTATCAATACACACTACTCACTATTCACTACTCACTACTCCCTACTCCCTACTCGCCACTCACTGCCCTCTACTCAATACCCAATACCCACTACTCACTACACACTAACTCACTACTCACTACTCACCACTCCCTACTCCCAACTCCGTACTCCCTACACGGGGGGGGGGTCCGAACCCCCCCCCCGTTTCTGACGCCAAGGGGGGGGGGGGGGAGGGGTTCCGGACCCCACCCCCCCTTCAAGGGAGGGGGGGGGGTCGGGACCCCCCCCCCCTTTAAGGGGGGAAGGGGGGGGGGCACGGCCCCCCCCCCCCCCTGAAGGGGGGGAGGGGGTTCTAGACCCCCCCCCCTTTAGTGTATTCAGGGAGATCCACTGGCGCACTTTCAATATATGGACCACCCCCTACTGCCAGCAGCATCAGAAAACGCCCTTTCGAATGTTGGGGCGTATGTCCCCCTTGGGCAGAGTGAGCCCGCAAATGCACATCGGGAGCGTCCAAGAGCGTTCGTTCCTTTCCGCGCTCCTCCCAGCCTCCCCTTCATCTCTGCTCCTTCCTGCCCCGTGCCCTTTCCTCACTCTCCCCTCCGCCGCTGAGGGGGCCGCGGGGTGAGGGGAGGGGGGGAAGCTCATGACGCTGCCCCTTCCCTCTCAGGAGGTTGAAACAGCTCTCCCGGACAATATATCAATATATATATATATATATATATATACATAGATCGGAGGTGAGGGGGTGAGATCGAAGTGGAACGGAGAGCCCCCCTACCGGGAAATCGTTTTTGGTTTCATGTTCGTGCGTGCCGTGCGTGCGGGCGAGGCGAAGCTGCGTGGGCGGGCGAGAAGAAAGTCTCCTGTGGCTGAGGCGCGGCCGGACCAAATGTCTCCCTTCCGGGCGGCCGGTGGCCCGCAGTGTCCGGCCGGTGTCCCGCTGGTGGTGTGGCTGAGGTGCGGCCGGACCAAATGTCTCCCTTCCGGGCGGCCGGTGGCCCGCGGTGTCCCGCCGGTGTCCCGCGGTGTCCCGCGGTGTCCCGCGGTGTCCCGCGGTGCCCCGCGGTGTCCCGACGGTGTCCCGCGGTGTCCCGCGATGATGATGATGATGATGATGATGATGATGATGATGATGATGATGATGATGATGATGATGATGATGATGATGATGATGATGATGATGCTGATGATGATGATGCTGCTGATGATGATGATGATGCTGATGATGATGATGATGATGATGATGATGATGATGATGATGATGATGATGATGATGATGATGATGATGATGATGATGATGATGATGATCGAGTGAGATCGAGTGTGAGAGTGAGATCGAGTGAGATCGATTGTGAGATCGATTGTGAGATCGATCGAGGGAGATCGATCGAGCGAGACCGATACTGAGATCGATAGTGAGATCGATAGTGAGACCGATCGAGTGAGACGTTGGTTCCTCCCCCGCCCGAACCTCCTTATCACCCGAAGGGTGGTCGTATAGATACATATATGTATGTGTGTGTCTGTCTGTCTGTCTGTCTGTCTGTCTGTCTGTCTGTCTGTCTGTCTGTCTGTCTGTCTGTCTGTCTGTCTGTCTGTCTGTCTGTCTGTCTGTCTGTCTGTGTGTGGTTTGGTTGTGGTCTATGCATGCTAGTGGGTTTATCTGATGTCCCATTCCCTCGCTTCTCATCACAATCTCCTGTTGTTCACCGCCCCCTGGGGCCCGGTGAAACCCACCGCGCCCCCCCCACCCCCACCCCGGGCCCTGGGCGCTGTGCAGCGCGCCCGCCGCGATCCTCGCCGCGACACGAGACGGCCTGGGCCTGCATCCCCCGCCTCCTCCGGCTGCCCCCGCCGCTGGCCTGGTCCTGGTTCACGGCCATCAGCACCTGCGGCCCGGGACGAGGGAGGGGCAACGAGTGGGGGAGACCAGCCCAGGGGAGGAAGCATCGAACCAGAATCGGCGAAACATCGCCGATAGACCTGTGACAGGCCTCTGACATCGAGCAGGGCTGAACCTAAACGGTGTTTTTCGTTTTCGTTTTGTTTTCGTTTCCCCTCGCTTTTGTCTCGAATACGCCTTGACCGCAAAACGAAGTCGAAACGAAAACGGCCCACGAAATCACCAAAAACACTGTTTAGGTCCAGCAGCCCTGGGGCCACGATGGGGGAGACCAGCCCAGGGGAGGAAGCATCGAGCTGGAATCGGCGATACATCGCCGGTAGACCTGCGATAGGCCTCTGACCTCGAAACTTAGAGGAAACAGAACTATGCACATACACCGATTCTGGCCAGGCCCACCCTGAGCCCAGGCTCGGTGCATACGCCCTCCTACCTTGGCTAGGAAGGTATATGCACCGATCCTGGGTCAAGAATGGGCCTTGCCAGGATCGGTGCATGTGCATAGTTCCCTTCGCCCGAAAACTGCACAATGCTGCGCGGGGTGGGCCATCGGGCCCCTCTCGGCGAGGAGTGGGCGATGGTGGGCCGATGCGTCCCCCCACAGAGCCCATCCCCCCCCCGGGAACGTTACTCTCGGACAGAGGAGCGGGGAGGCGCGAATCGCCCCGAGGGGGCCCAAGGAGGGGGGGGGATGTTCGAATACTCGCGCGCCTCGTCGGGCCGCCGGAGGCCTCCGGAACCCTCCGTGGAGGCCTCCAGGAGGCCTCCGGTCTGATTTAGACGAGCGCGCTCCACCACTCGCAAGGTAGCTACTCGCAAATGGCCTGGATCCACCGCGGGGGATTTGCGAGGAATTGCATCGGAGCAGACCTGTGCTCTTCGGGCGATTGCGAGTAGGCGCTTTGCGAAGTGTGGAACGCGCTCGGCGATAATCCTGGGGCCCCCCATAGGCACCGCTCGGGGTCAGACCCGGGGTGGCAGCAAACCCACCGCCGGGGAAGCAGGCGCTGGCCTCCTCGCCCTGCAGACGTGCCGGTGCGCCTGCCGAGCGGCGCAGTGTTCGGTGGAGGCTCTGTGCCCCTTCGGAGCATGGGCCGTGGACCTTCCAGGTGGCTACAGTCGGACTTGATTGGAGAGGACACGCGAGAGGACACAAGACACTTCCGAGAGATACATTGCCGCAGGAATGTAACAGGCACGCCTCTTTAAACACAGGACACAAGGCTACCCTTGATTTAGCAAGGTCAACCTACTAATCAAGGCCGGCTGTACCCGTGAACCGTTCCCCCGGTCCGCACGATTTTTGAGGAGGAGTGGGGGTTCGCTCCGCTCGGGAGCTCCCGGTCGAAGTGAAACCCCAACCCCGCTTAGGAATCGCAGGGGGAAGGGGTAGGGTTCACATTAGGGGAACGAAAAATGACATAAACACAAAAACTCGAGGGTCCGCGTGGATTTCTCGGATCCTCTCTGGGGCCCCCTGGCAGCGCCTCCGGCGCCGCCCCTGGCGCGCTCCGCGCGCCAGGGAGAGGGGTCCAGCGCGGATCCGAGAAATCCGCGCGGACCTCCGAGTTCTCATCTTCATGTCAGTCTTCGTTCCCCTGCACATGTGGCAACCGAACTTCACCACAATCTCGCCGCTGGTCGGCGGCGAGCGAGGGTGGAGGAGGAGGAGGAGGAGGAGGAGGAGGAGGAGGAGGAGGAGGAGGCGGAGGCGGAGGAGGAGGCGGAGGCGGAGGCGGAGGCGGAGGAGCGAGAACGAGAACGCCTTCTCAGAAGGCGGCGGGGCTTCTCAGAAGGCCTCCGGCCCTGGCAGAGGAATTTTCCGTGCCTTCGGGGGAGGCTTAGAAAACTTCACAGGTGGAGTGCTGCCAGAAGCTCCCCAGGCCCAAGGTGCCCCCAGGATTTCCAAGGAGGCCGCCAAGGTTTCCAGAGCACCGCTCACGAGGCTCAGAGGTCCCCAGGGGCTCCAGAGTGGAGCGAAATGCTGGGGGCACCCTGTGTCAGGAGCGCCTTTAGCAACTCCTGATCAGAAGGCCGGAGGGTTTCCGAGCCTTCTGAGAACAGAGGCCTTGCAGAAGGGGTTCGATTAGATGGGGTCGGAGCATCGCGCCGCAGCGCAGATGCATCGGCGATGCGGCTCGATGTGGAGCCCGACCTTCTCCACGCCGACGTCGCCGATGCATCGCAAAAATAGCCGATACATCGGCGATGCATCGGCCATGCGGCGCGATCTTTCCTTCCTTCCTTCCTTCGTTCCGCTCCCTCGAGGCGGCCCGCGGTCGGGGCGCCCGCTCGGCTGGGCCGCCCGGCGCGAGCTCTTACTCTTTCCGCGGGTGGGCCACCTGGCGCCCAGCCCGCGGCTGCCCCTCCCCGCGGCCAGGGGGCACAGCGGGTGGCGCCCGACGCTGTCGCGGGAGGCCCCTGCCTGCAGGCCCCTGGGGGGGGGGGGCCCCGGTGGCCCCCCGGCGTCTGCCCGATCCTCCGGCCCCATATACCCGGACCCCATCTGGAAGGCCTAGGAGTCGGCGGCGGGCCCGGAGGGGGAGTGAGAAGGGGCGGGTCTTCTCAGAGGGCTCGGGAGTCCCCCTGGCCTCCTGAGAAGCTTTCTGAGGCTTCCCCGAAGACGCAGGAAACCGCTGAGAAGCCCCGCCGCCCTCCGAGAAAGCTTTCTCCCTCTCATGTCCCCCCCTTGCTCGCCGCCTTCTCGCTTCCACCCCCCTGGGCTCGCCGCAGAAGTGGGCGTCGAGCAGGCTGCCCCGCCACACTGCCAAAACGAGCATATATATATATATATATATATATATATATATATATATATGATGAATTACAAAGCTGTATATATATATACATGTATACGTAGCACCCCGCCGTTGCGGATAAAAGTGAGGGGGCGGCGAGGACGTCGTCAGTCTGCGAGGCTCTGAAAAAAAGCCCGCCGCAGGCGCATAACTTTTACAAATTCCGCAGTGAGCCCGCCGCAGGCGCCGATTTCTTCGTTAAAGCTATGTGGGTGGATCGCGGGGTGGGTCGCGGGTGGGCCGCGGGCCGGGTCGCGGATGGGTCGCGGGTAAGTCGCGTATGGGTCGCGGGTTGGTCGCGGGTGGGTCGCGGGGTGGGTCGCGGGTGGGTCGCGGGGTGGGTCGCGGGGTGGGTCGCGGGGCGGGTCACGGGGTGGGTCGCGGGGCGGGTCGCGGGTGGGTCGCGGGGTGGGTCGCGGGCGGGGTCGCGGGCCGGGTCGCAGGGTGGGTCGTGGGGTGGGTCGCGGGCCGGGTCGCGGGCGGGTCGTGGGGGTGGGTCGCGGGGTGGGTCGCGGGGTGGGTCGTGGGGTGGGTCGCGGGCCGGGTCGCGGGCGGGTCGGGGGGGGAAGACGACAACAACAACAATCAGTTTACCCTCACGCACGATGTTTCCACATGAAGCATTTGGCCATCATGATAACCATCCACATCATGGGGGACTCTTGTTCTATAGCGGGGTCCGTTATTCCCATTCCCATTCCCGCCAAATTGGGTCGTGCAAACACCTCCTCCGAGGAGTTTCAACATATCCCGCCTCGAAAACACATGCCCGCGCCTTGCTGCGCCGTTGCGAGACTGCCAGTGGAACCCCAGCGAAGGCTAAAGCACAAGGAAGTATCGAACGACAGGTTTGCCTCGGTGAGGATGGGTGCTGTCTGCGGTGAGGCACGGACCTGGCCCTGAATAGAAAATTAGGAAGTCTCGAGCAGGGCTACTGTTGTTGCTGGGAGCGTCGCCAATGCTGAAGAGAGTAGGGCGCTAGTCCAGCGTAAACCAAAACGAAGTCTCGAGCGGGAGCGCTGGTTTTGTTGGGACGGCGGCTTCCGGCGGCGAGGAGGAACACAGCCTTGAATAAGAAAGGTGGAAGCATCGAGCGGGACCCGTGGTTTTGTCGGGACGGGGGCTGTCGGCGGCGAGGAACAGCACCGCCTTCAGGAAAAAGGGAGGAAGCCTCGAGCGGGAGCGTGGTTCTTGCTGGGAGCAGCGCCAACTCAAAAAAGAGTTGGGCGCCAGTCCAGCGTAAAACGGAAGGAAGTTTCGGGCGGGAGCGCTGGTTTTGTCGGGGCGGCGGTTTTCGGCGGCAAGGGGGAACACCGCCTTGAGTAAGAAGAGAGGAAGCACCGAGCGGGAGCCGTGGTTTTGTCGGGACGGGGGTTGTCGGCGGCGAGGAACAGCACCGCCTTCAGGAAGAAGGGAGGACGCCTCGAGCGGGAGCGTGGTTCTTGCGGGGGGCGGCGCCAATTCAAAAGAGAATTGGGCGCCAGTCCAGCGTAAAACGGAAGGAAGTTTCGGGCGGGAGCGCTGGTTTTGTCGTGGCGGCGGTTTTCGGCGGCGAGGAGGAGCACTGCCTTGAGTAAAAAAGTGAGGAAGCTTCGAGCGGGAGCGTTGTTTTTGCTAGGGGCGGCGCCGATGAGAGATAGACTAGCGCGCCAGTCCAAGGTAAATCGGGAGGAAGTCTCAAGCGGGAGCGCTGGTCTTGTTAGGGCGGCGGCTTTCGGCGGCGAGCAAGAACACCAGCCCTGAGCAAAAAAAGAGGAAATCTCGAGCGGGAGCGTTGTTGTCGTCGGGGGGCCGGTGTTGGCGGTCCTCCAAACCGCTCGTGCGTGAGCCTTATTTTCAATGAACATGTAGCCGGCGCCTCGGCGAGAGCGCCAGGGCGCCTGTAAGGGTTCCAACAATAATAACTGTTTAGTAACTAACAGTTGACAACAAGCAGAATCCTCCCCGCGGATCCCCACCTCAGCCACGCACCGGGGAACAAAGAATGAGCGTTCGGCCCCCTCACTCTGATATGTGTGTGTTGGTATCTATAAATATATACATAGAAAAATGATCCGGTCAGACTTCAGGCCCGGTGGGGGCCGCTGGGTCGGGAGCGCCCCCGGAGAGCCTAAGACGGCCCCGGACGGCCCCCAAAGGCCCCAAGACGGGCCAACCGTGCTCCAAGGCGCCCAAGATGGCCCCAAGACAGCCCAGGAAGCCCCCCGAGACACCCTAAGAGAGTCCCAAGAGGCCAAAACCGTCCAATTCCCATACGAAAACGTTTATGTTTAGCATCTGCGACTTTTGGGCTTTCCGACGCTTCAAGACGGCCCAAGACACCCCGCAGACCGCTCCAAGACGGCCCAAGAGGCCCCCAAGACGCCGCCACGACGGCCCAAAAGGATTCCAAGACGGCCCAAAAGGCGCCCAAGACTGCCCAAGAGAGCTCCAAGACCGCCCCCGAGGTTCAGCAGGCCCCAAAGAAGCCCCAAGAGGCACCCAAGAGTCCCAAGAGGCGCCCAGGAAAGGCCCCGAAAGGCCCCCAAACAGCCCACAGAAGCCCCAGGAGGCGCCCTGAAAGGTCCCAGTAGCCCTAACCTCGAAGCTCACTAAGGACTGCGCGCCATAGCCGCCCCACCCGGTCAGGTACCGAACCGAGGAACCAATCAGGACGGTGACGGTCAGAGTCTGTGTGTACACATATACATATATATACATATACACGCACATCTACATACATACATACATACATAGATCCATCCATCCATCCATCCATCCATCCATCCATCCATCCATACATACATACATACATACAACCGTACATGTACCTATATCTATATGCACATGTGTATATATATATATATATATATATGTATACGCGCGAGGCCCTTCAGGCCCCCTCCTGGGCCCTCAAGGGCCCAGGAGGGGGCCCTCAATTGCACCCTTTCTGCAGCCATCGCTGCCCCACACGTCATCGCCTTCCCGATACGCGAGACCCAAGAATTCTGTCATCAACCATACTATACACGCGCACCCTGCCATGTTCCAACTCCTGCTCCTGCTCCTGCTCCTGCTCCTCCTCCTCCGCCTCCTCCTCCTCCTCCTCATCCTCCTCCTCGTAATAGCGACGATCCCCGCCGACGCCGATGAGGATCTGCGATCACCTCCTTAGTGCACAAAGATGGTGAATGTTCCCTCGGTGCTGCTGTCCGCAAACCGTTCCCAGGGGATAAACAGACGGTCCCCAGGGCGGAAGTTTTGTGTTCGATTGCACTGCAAGAGGTCCAGGGCCCGTTTGTGTTCGTCACGGACCACCTGGCCATCTTGAAAGCCTGGCGGACCCAGTTTGGAAGACCGCGGACCCTGGGACCAAGCGCGGACCGTTGGACCCTCGCGCTCCCTGATTGATGTAATATGGACACCTTCCCACCTCGATGAGTCGCCTGAGCAGCTCACGAGCGAGTGGGAACTTTTTCCTCGCCTGCGGAAATATGACGGCGGGTTTGTGGGCGAGGACGGGGGCGGAGCTGGGGGAGAGTGCTCTTATAGGCCGCATGCCTGATACGGATCAAGTAGATTGCGCGGCCGCGCTGGTGAGAAAGCGCGCGAGACGCGCGATGATCAATTCAGTAGAAGCCTCAACAGCGTTGCCTCCCTCTTCCCGCCCAGAGCGCGCGCCTAGACTCCGCAAGCGTGAGAGGATGTTTCGAACGTCGGCCCACAAGATTGAGCGTTGTGGTGTGAGGTGGTGGTGTACTGCGTGTGCAGTCATTGTGGTTGGCGCTCAGCTGGGTGAGTTTCGTGGGACAGAATACAGCGGCCCCCGCAGCCACTGTCTGTTTTCAGATGCCCTTATCCTGCCGGTGCCGCGAGGAGAAGTGCTGCTGAGTTTCATGAGTCCCACATGCTCGTCTATTTCCCAGCTTGGTTCATGACGATGTCCACGAGATGTGGGCATTACTGCACGATCGATACCCGCTCCCTGAAAAGGAGATGTTGCGGGGAAGCCCCGAAGGGAGTGGAGAATCTCGCGAGGGTGAGTCGCGGCCAATTCCCCAGAAGGGAAGGGTCCCCTCGGCCAATCCTGTTGGCCATTGCGGAGCCGGACAGGTTGGGAGTCGTCGTGGCCCAGTCGTCGTTGGAAGGCAGGTCCCGCCCGCAGGCCTCTGTCCCCCTGCCCCCACCTCCCACACGCGGAGGGACTGACGACAACGTCGCCTCACAGGACCCGCGTCCGCCATCGAGCGGCCGAGGCACCATGGGGCCCGTCGAGGGGAGGCAGTGGACGAGGTTGGGTCGTTTTGGCCTCTCTTTGCTTTTGCTTTCCATTGTGGCGGGGAGCCCTCCATGCGGCAACAATTTGTCTTGCGGCTCGTGGGCGTCTTGTTTTTGCTTTCGCTGGGGCCTCTGAGAGGCCTGGACAATGGTCCGCAAATCAGTAACTCCAGTACCTCCTCCTCCTCCTCCTCCTCCTCCTCCTCCTCCTCCTCCTCCTCCTCCTCCTCCCCCTCCCCCAACAGCACCCACCTCCCTCTCGAGAGACTCCGCCCCGCCGCTGCCTCGGACACGTCGTCTGGGCGGGCCGGGCGCTCCGCCGGAGACTCCTCTTCCACCGTGCTCTGCACGGGCACAGGGCGGGGCGTCCTCACAACGGGGGCTCCGGCCTTGGCGCCGCGGACATTCGTCCGAAACAAAGCCAGCAGCTACTGTTAGGTCGGGCCTTCCCCCCTGCAGAAGGATTCTTGACGAAAAATCACAAATACCCAGACTATGTTTGGACTATGTTGGAATATTCCCCCCGTAGAGGGACAGGCCCGATTTAAAGCTACTGAGACGAAGCCAGGACGAGGATAAATTCGGGTGAGGATAGATATCGGCGGTGGAGAAACCTCCCTCTAGTAAACCACCCTTCAATGAAAACGGCCCAGGACCGAGACCGACGGACCTGGAACCGCGAAACTGACGACCGCGACGCCCTCTCGCGAACCGAAGACGGCAAATCCGCTAGTCGACGTGTCAGGGTAGGAAGTCTATCACCCTCCGAAGATCGAGAATCTCTGCGATCTGGCGGCTCTTGAGGATGTGCTGGGCGCCGCGGCCTTCTCAGAGCGTTACGGAACGCTCTGAGGGCGTCCCGGGAAGCTCTGGAACGGAATCATCCTCGACCCAGCGCCGTCCGGGTTACGCGGATGGAGGGCCGCCCGAGACCTCCGCAGAACGAGTGGCACCGCCAACAGAAACGAAACAACACCGGAAGGAAGCGCGGCTCCTGATCAATATTGGGTGTCAAAATGGTGACCAGACGATCTTCCATCTGAGACTCGGAGCGCTGTCATGGAATACCATGCGGCCCCCACTCTCTGATCGAGTGCACGCATGCTGCAATAAGCCGCAAGACAGGATGCGATGCGGGCCACGTGCGCGCGCCCCTTGCGCGAGGATGCAGAAGTAATCGAAAGCATTCCCTGGGAATGCCAGGCAAGAGCCCCCCAAACGCACGTGGCACCAAATGCTCGTGCATGCCAATCGTTTGGCCGCACGCATGTGGTAACCTCCTATCGTCGGCGAGCGAGGAGGGGAAGTGAGAAGGAGAAGGCCTTCTAAGAAGCCTCGAAGTCACCTGGCCTTCTGAGAAGCGTCCGATGCCTTCCCCGACGACATAGAAGACTTCACAGAAGGCACGAGGGCTTCTGAAAAATCCCGCCGCCTTCTGAGAAGGTCTTCTCCTCTCCTTCTCATTTCCCCCCCCCTCGCGCGCCGCCGATCCTAAGAAAGAAGCCGATCCTAAGTGCCGTGCCCCCCACTCCCTGCTGCTGCTGCTCGTACTCTGCCTTCCTCCCCTGACCTCCTCTCGCGCCGTGCAGCAACACCAACACAAAACTCGATGGAAAGTGCTCCGCAATTTTCGGCCCCTGTGGTGCTCACAGACCCCGAGACCTTCACAAACACGACTCAGGACCAGAAGTCCGTCACGGGAGGTTGTGCAGATCTCAAACAAATTCATGCTGTACAAATTCCCTGCGACGGTTGGGGTTGTTCGTCTTCCCTCCTTCTCCTCTGGCGTCCTCCACCTTCCCCTTTCATCCTCCTTCTGCTCCTCCTTTTCCTCCGTCTGCTCATACTATTATTTACTGTTATCATGTGCCCTCCTCCTCCTTCTGTTGATACTACCCCAGGGCTCGACACGCGGGACCACGGAGACACAGGGTCGGGCGATCGCGCCGCATCGTCGATGCTTGGCCGATTCGCACGCGATGCATCGGCGACGTCACCGTGGAGGACATCGAACTCCACATCGAGCCGCATCGTTGAAAGATCCGGGATTGTTGCGCGATCCTCCTACCGGGTTCGCTCAGTTCCCACTTGGGAGACATGGGATGTGGGATTGTGCACGGGAGGATGCGGAGAGCATGAGTAGACAAAAGTGAATGATCAAGAGCTTTCCGACTCCCTGCTCTTGGCGCGCGGAGCGCCAAAGGCGACGCCATGGGGGTTCAGCGCCGACCCATGAAATCCGCGCGGAGTCCCAGAAATGTGTGTGTATGCCTCTTGTATTTCGTTTCTTCTTCTGAGCGAGATAGAAATAACACAGGAACAGCACAGAGGAGGCAAGAGAGAGCGAGAAGCATTGAGAGAGAGAGGGGAAGAGAGAGAAAGAGAGCGAGAGAGGAAGGCGGATCCAGGCCAGACGTCGGCAGAGCTGGCCTCCGGGGCGGTGTAGGAGATCGTGCCCACGCTGGAGCACAAGCGGCCCTGCGGGGAGGAGGCTTGGCAACTCGAGGAGGCATCTCCTCGGCAGTCTTCGCGGGAACGGTTCTTGAAGGCTGGGCTGCTGCGCCCGACTCGGGGGCCAGCAGGCTAGATGAAGCCAGATTGAGCCCAGGATCAAGCCATAGTGTTATGTTCAACTGGAGATAATCCGATCAAAAAGAATCCCCGGACAACATTTCGGACAACTCGAACAACCCATGCTGATGAATGACGACAAGACGACCCATCCCGGACAGCACCTTGGACAATCCAGCGGGGATCCGGATCACCCCTCCGGACAACTCCCCTTGGACACGCCTCCAAGGGATTTCCTTCCATAGAAAATAGCAAGCGGGACAATGCGGGATCGAGCGAGGCGAGGCCAGAGTAGGGCAGTTTTCACCCGCGTATGCGCCAGCGCCGATGCTGAAATTCACCTGCCACAACAGATGTGCAGGAGGACGCTGTTTGTGTTTCACTCGGCGGGACAATCGCGTCAGCCCGCCCCTAAAGCGGCAGGCATGTCTGCCAAGTGGAGCAGACACGCTGGCAGGGTTCTCGCTCACACAAAAACCAAAACGTGGAGAACGGTTCGCATGTGGCCTCCCAAATATGGAAGGTGTCATGGTCGGCGTCTCGGGAAAGGAGGAGGAGCAGGCGGAGGAGGAGGAGAAGGAGGAGGAGGAGGGGGAGGAGTTGGAGGAGGAGGAGGAGGAGAAAGCGGAGGAGGAGGAGGAGGGGAGGAGGAAGGAGGGAGGAGGAGGAGGAGGAGGAGGAGGAGGAAGAGGAGGAGGAGGAGGAGGAGGAGGAGGAGGAGGGAAGGGGAGGAGGAGGAGGAGGAGGAGGAAGAGAGGAGGAGGAGGGAGAGGAGGTGGAGGAGGAGGAGGAGGGATGCAGGGAAGCGGGCAAGGAAACAACAACAGCAGCCCAGGAGCAGACCGAAGCCCAGGGCATGTCCTCCCACAAGCGGGTTCCGGAGGAAAAAAAAAACAATATAAACAAACATGTTCAACAGTTGTCAAAAAAATCAAAATACTAATAATACGAATAGAAATAGTAATAATAACACTGACAGGGATAATAACAATAATAAACATCATCATAACACTAAGATTATAATAGAACTACAAATAATATCATTAATACTAATCATAATAATACGAATACTAATACTAATACTAATACTAATACTACTACTACTACTAATACTAATACTAATATTCATGATGCAAAAACTACTACTACTAATTCAAAGTATGCTAAGAATCGTCATCATAACAAAGCATACTAATAATAATGATAGGAAATCGTCCCCAGAGCATCTCTGGATTATTTTTGAATGTTCCTCCTGTAGGGGGGGGGGCTCGACTGCAGATCTGGGCGAGGGGGGGGCTCCAAGCGGCTGCCTGTTGTAAGCTTCGGCAGACGACAGACTTCGGGCGGAAGGAAAAAGCAATGGCAGCCCAGGGGCAGACAGACCGACGCCCAAACGCGGAAGGGCCCCGAGCCCGACAGGGCAGCGGCGGACAGCCTCGACCACAGATGTGGGCTTAGGTCGGGCATGTCCTCCTACAGGCGGATGTTGGAAGAACACCGAGACACAGTAAAAGCATATTCAAAAATGACAGAACAAATAAATCAAAGCATCGTCCCCAGACTAATTTGTTGACCACTCTGGAGTGTTACTCCTGTACAGGGACATGCCCGACTTCAGCCTCGACAGCAGCGCTGGGCGAGGGGGGGGCCCGAGCGGCTGCCCGCTGTAAAAGCTCTAGCCAACGACAGCCTTCGGGGAGCAGGCAAACAATGGCAGACGCCCAGGCACAGGGGGCGGCTTGGAGGCCGAGGGCCGCCAGAGAACTTCAACGACCGCCGCGGGCTCTGCCTCCGCCTGGGGATCGGCGGCATGGTGCAAGCCACTCGAATCGGGGAGACGTAAGACTCTGGCTCGGCGGACCCGGGTTGGCCTGGCGGGGTCATCATGAACATGACGAGACCCCAGCTGAAATCTGACGCGAGCTGCCGCTGCAGACATCCCACGAGAACTGAACCGTCAAAATCCATGACGCACTCGTCAAAACGCGTCGGCAAGCCCAAGTTCCGGCGTACTCGAGTCTTACGCTTCTCCGATGGAGTAATGGCATAAGGCATAGACGAAAGCGTCCGAAGGCCCGGGCGGATTTCTTGGATCGGCGCCAGGCTCGCCCCTGGCGACGCCTCCGGCGCCGCCTCTGGCGCCGCCAGCAAGGGGGGTCCAGCGCCGATTGAAAAAAAACCACGCGGGCCTCCAACATTTCATGTTCATGCTGTGCTCCCAGGACGCTGGGTGAGGGAAAGAAAGGCCAGTCGAGGCGGCTCCCAATTCGCCCGTAAAGGTGGCGGCGCGCGGGGATGGGGAGTGGGCGCCGGGGCGCAGCTCATTCAGATGGCGTAGGTGGATATGTTTTTCTACTGGGGAGGGAGGGGGAGAAAGAGAAGGAGACGAAAGGGCCTGCCCGAAGCCTACTGCATCTCCTTCCGGTGTGCCCCTCTGTCCCTCGGGACGCAGTGCGCAGCGTTTGCTGTGTAGGATGTGTAGGCAACACGCTGGCAGCAGGGTACTGCAAGGGCAAGCGCGAGCTGCCTGTCTGCTTAGATGGCCGCTTTTCGAAATCTAGTAGAACTTCAAAAGACCTCGCGCCAAGTACTGACACTGCGGAGCCCCGCGACAGAACAGCGTCGTGGGCCTTCCTGGCGGAGATTCATCCAGGGGAGTGATTAAGGGAGGCCCCGGGCGAAACGAGCTTGACAGTCGCGCCTCGTGCTGTAGTCACGTGCATTTTCCATCGCTTCCTTCTCCACCTCAGCCCACTTGCTACTCGCCCCTTGGATCTAGCCTCCCACTCCCGCTCGAAGCTTCCTCTCCCTCTCCCCTCCTCCTCCTCCTCCTCTTCCTCCTCCTCCGCTTCCTCCTCCTCCTCCTCCTCCTCCTCATCCTCCTCTTCCTTCTCCCAATCAATATCAAACTCGCTCTGCCTGTCTGGATTATCGTTGGGTCTTTCTCCGTGTGCCTGCTGCCACGTCGGCCCTGCACGCCTCTCTGCCCGTCTCTGCTACTGGACCTGGCCTCGCATCTCGTCCCGCTCTCCCCCAGACCCATCGTCAGCGTCATCTTCCATCCCCCTGCTTAGAGGGCAACAATATCACCCCCATAAGAACCACCCACCAAGCGAGGCCGTTCAGCAAACGCACTCCAAAAAGGAATCGAACAGGGCAAGGCCGTTTAGTACACGCACAAGGTCGTTCAGTAAACGCCACTTATCGGGTCTGGGTGGTTTTTCCTCCCTTGACTGCTCATTGCACCTGCCACCTTAGACCCCTGACATTCCTGCCTTCTCCTGGGGAAACCATAAGGTACCGATCCCGCTACTCCCCAGACCTCTCCCAGGGTGCGCTCTGACCAAAATTTCAACTCTAATCCAGCTGTGGCGACGAGGGCCTCCCTTGAGGCCCGAAGAAAGGAAAACGAGGCGAGGGTAGCGGTATGGGTACCATTTCCTCCTCTGATGCTCCTCGCATCCTCTCCACCCCAGACCCCCGACATTCCTGCCTTTCCCTGGGGCCATCGTGCCACCACGAAGAGCGACAGAGGAGGAGCGATGTGTGTTTTTTTGGTCTGGCCGCGGCGAGCCCAGGGCACGAGTAGGCCCCCCGACCTGCATCGATCTAAGGAGCAGCCCGAAAACCAGAGCCCCATCCTGAGCTCGAGGTGATGGCCAGTTCAGCCTCTTGACCCGATGCCTCCTGCAGTCGGGGCGTTGACGAAAGAAACCCAAAGTAAGGAACGAGGCCCTGTTTTTTTTCGATGCGTTAAACTTCGATTGCCCATCGAAAACCCAAGGACAACCCGAGGCAAACTGTAAAGCAACTACGGAACACGGAGCCACTCTCCAACGAAAAGGGTTCCTTCTCCAGCACCTCGACTGTAGATGGGGCCGGAGAAGATGGGGTCGGAGGATCGCGCCGCATCGCCGATGCACTGGCGACGTTGGTGGTGCATCGGCGACGTCGGCGTGGAAACACTTGGGCCCCACATCGAGCCGCATCGCCGATGCATCGCCGATGCATCGGCGATTCGGCGAGGTCCTCCGACCCCATCGGCTCCGACCCCACCTAGGAGGCCTAGAGATGAGCAGCCCGAAAACCCGAGCCCCACCCGGAGCTCGAAGTAATGGTCATTTCAGCCTCTTGACTGTTCCTTGGGCCCTCAGACACTTTTGTTTGTCCTCATCCAGGTCTCGCTGGTTTGTTAGGTTTCCTGTCGAGAAGGCGGTTGGGGTCCGAGCCCCAAGCAGTGTTCAGCGTCGGCGAAGCTGATTCGCATCAAAAGGACTCTAAACCTTCGGGAGGGGACCTGAGTTTGGAGGCCCAAAACATTAGTGATAGGGTCCCTTTCTGCAGACGTATCGAACAAAGCCGCACAGATCTACCTTCCCTACTGCACAGGCGGGGACCTCAGCGAGGTCACGTCTTCACTGTGTTATTAGAGTCAGGGGTTCTTTTATCGTCGATGAACGGCCCCTGCCCAGTCCTCGATGAAGTGCTTCCCGAGACCCCAGTCGATCACCTTCACACGGAACTCGTCCGGGCTGGTGCTGCGGGAGGGCAAGCAGGAACCGCAGCTACGAAGAGAAGCAAAGGTTATCAGCGGAATGGCAGACGATATTCTGGCCAAGAAACGCGCCGAAGGACGAAACGACCCGAGGAGACGATTCCTGGGAGGTCTCCGCCAGAACGGTTGAAGACTATCAAGACCGATGAGGCCCAAAGAATCTCTGCATCCTGCCGCACCAAGCAAAATTAAGCGGAAGCGCGAGGCATTATGCCAGACGAGGCTGGGTTGGGAAGAGCTTCGACCACGGGGGTGCATGCGCCGATATTGAATTTAACCTCCCGCGGGGAACCATGGCGGGAAAGGGCACGAGGACCACGACCAAGGCTGAAAGAGGAGACGTCGCTACCGACCTTGGTCATCGTCGATCTCCGGCATCGTCAACTCGTGAGCCATCCTCGCGAATCGGCGACGGCCTTCCTGGACCACGACCAAGGTCGGCGTCGACGAGGTCCCGTGGCGCCTTGGTCAATGGCCATCGCGCCTCTTCACCTCGACACTATGCAAGGCCGCCCCAGGTGGCGGAGCTCACCATGCCGCGGGGAAGAGGGGCGGGTGGATGCGCGCAGTGGAGCGTCCCAGGCTGCAGCGCGTTGACGTCAGTGCAGCGGCAGGCTGCGCATGCTCCGTCGCTCCCCCTTGCAGATCCTCCGCCTCCTCCCCCTCCAAGATCCGCCTCCTCCTCCCCTTCCTCCTCCTCCTCCTCCTCCTCCTCCTCCTCCTCCTCCTCCTCCTCTTCGTTCTCCCCACATCCGCCTCCTCCTCCTCCTCCAACTCCTCCTCCTCCCCTTCCTCCTCCTCCTCCTCCTCCTCCTCATCACCATCAGCAGCAACAGCATCGTCATCATCATCATAACCATCATCATACACAGCATCGTCAGCATCACCATCACCATCATATTCATTGTCATTAACATCGTCATCATCATCATCATCATCATCATCATCATCATCATCATCATCTTCATGTTCCTCATTACCCCTATCGTCATCATAATATGCATCGTCATCAACATCATCATCATCATCATCATCATCATCATCACCATCATACTCGTCTTCATCATCAGCATCAGCATCATCATCCGAATCAGCATCAGCATCATAAACATACGCATCATCCTCACCATCGTCGCAATCCTCAGATTCACCATCATCATAAACATCAGCTTGATCACCTTAATCATCACCATCACCAGCATCAGCAGCATCACTATCATCATTGCCATTACCATCGATATCACCATCATCGTCATGTTCGTCATCTGAATCATCGTGGTCATCATCATCATCAATATCATCATCACCATCACCATGACCATCACCGTTACCATTATCATCATCATATCCGTAGCATCACCATCATCATCAGCAGCAGCAGCATCACCACCATCACCATCAGCACCATCATCATCCTCAGCACCATCATCATCATCATCATCATCATCATCAGCACCATCATGTTCGTCATCATCATCCTCATCGTAATCATCAACATCAGCATCGTCAACATCATCACCATCAGCAGCATCATCATCATCCTCAGCACCATCATCATCATCATCATCATCATCATCATCATCATCATCATCATCATCATCATCATCATCATCATCATCCGCGTCATCATCACCATCATCACCACATCCTTCTCCTCCTCCTGCCCCTCCTCCTCATATACCTCCTCATCATCCCCACCATCCTCCTGCTCCTGCTCCTCCGCCTCCTCCATCTCCATCTCAACCTCCTCCTCCTCCGCCTCCTCCTCCTCCTCCTCCTCCTGATCGAGGATGCGGAAGACGAGGGCGACTGCATCGCCCGAGCAGGGGCGCCGCCCCTGGCAGACAGGTGCTCCATCCTGGGCCGGAGCCAGACGGTCGGTGCCGCGCTCCAGCGCCCAAGCGGCCAGGGGAGGTGCCACCTCCCCAGGGGTCTCCTGGATGGGGTCCGAGCAGGTGGGGTCGGAGGATTGCACCGCATCACCATCATCATCAGCAGCAGCATCACCACCATCACCATCAGCAGCATCATCATCATCCTCAGCACCATCATCATCATCATCATCATCATCATCATCATCATCATCATCATCATCAGCACCATCATGTTTGTCATCATCATCGTCATCATAATCATCAACAGCAGCATCGTCAACAGCATCACCATCATCATCATCATCCTCAGCACCATCATCATCACCACCATCATCATCATCATCATCATCATCATCATCATCATCATCATCACCAGCGTCATCATCACCATCATCACCCCATCCTTCTCCTCCTCCTGCCCCTCCTCCTCATATACCTCCTCATCATCCCCACCATCCTCCTGCTCCTGCTCCTCCGCCTCCTCCATCTCCATCTCAACCTCCTCCTCCTCCGCCTCCTCCTCCTCCTCCTCCTGATCGAGGATGCGGGAGACGAGGGCGACTGCATCGCCCGAGCAGGGGCGCCGCCCCTGGCAGACAGGTGCTCCATCCTGGGCCGGAGCCGGACGGTCGGTGCCGCGCTCCAGCGCCCAAGCGGCCAGGGGAGGTGCCACCTCCCCAGGGGTCTCCTGGATGGGGTCCGAGCAGGTGGGGTCGGAGGAGTGCACCGCATCGCCGACGCATCGCCGATGCGGGGCGATCCTTCGACCCCATCTGCAGTCAAACGTAGAACCAAAGAAGCCTATCATTTCAGAAATCTGGGGCAGCTTCCCAGGCGTTCCTGAAAAGCATGCCAGGAGCAAGCTCTGCTGCTGAGGCTGGATGGGGCGAACGCGCTCAAAGACTGGGGCCAACGTTCCGGCAAATGGGTGAAGAAACGCTGGCCCAGCTTCTTAGGCAGTCTTGGAGCTCTCTTGGGGGCCTCTTGGGCCGTCTTGGGGTGGTCTTAGGGGCCTCTTGTGCAGTCTTGGAGCGTCGGAAATCAGAAAAGGCAAGAACGCCCAAATCCACCCGAATCCGCAGGAACATCAATGACGGTTGCCTCTTGGGGCTCTCTTGGAAGGCCTCTTGGAGGCCTCTTCGGAGAGTACTCAGATGCTCGACTGTACTCGGGGACCCCGTCTAGGAGGCCTGGACTCCTCCGTCGGGGTCTGGCTCCCGGCAGGCCATGGCCCTTCCGGGCGCGGTGCCCCTGCGCGAGGTCCGCGTCCCTCTCCTCGCCGCCCCTTTCGCCTTTCCTCGCCCCCCTCCACGCCTGCGCGAGGTCCGCGTCCCTCCCCTCCCCCCCCTTTCGCCCGTCCCCGCCCCCCTCCACGCCTGCGCGAGGTCCGCGTCCCTCCCCTCCCCTCCCTGTAAAAGACGAAGCCAGGACGATGATAGCATCGGGTGCCGATATATCGAGAATCTCAGAGCTCGGCTGACGGATCTTGAGCATGTCTTGGGCGCTGCGGCCTTCTCAGAGCGATATGGAACGCTCTGAGAGCGTTCGGGAACGCTCGAGTTCCGCCCCTCACCCTTCCTCGCCCCCCTCCCCCCCCAGCACCCCCCTTTCCCCTCCCGCTCCCAAACAAAGGCGTCCTGCAAAAGCATATGTTCTCTGGCTTCATGTCCCTGTGGGCGATGCCCTTCGAGTGGGCGTAGAGCAGCGCTCCAGACACCTGCCCTTCCTCCTTTCAAGCCGATTGGTAGATTTGACAGAGGTGGCCGGCTGCGGAAGAGGTGAATACAATCGGAGGACCAAGGGGGAATTCGAGAAAAGGGGATCGAAAATGAAAAGGGCACTGGTACGCGATCGCTGGAAACGGGACACGTACCACAACCACTTACACCGCAATGCGTGGGGTGCTCCAGTGACTCTCACTGGAGTCGCGCATGGGCTGCGTGGCCCGCTGGGGCCAGCGAGGAGGTCAAAAGGTTCGCAAGAATGTCTGGGATCGGCGCTGGACGCCCCTCACCGACGCAAGGAGCGCACCAAGGGCGGAACTGGAGGCGCCGCCAAGGGGTTCCAGCTCCGATCCGACAAATGCGAGCGGACCCCGAACGTCGATGGTTATGCAAACTGCCTCTTGGTTTTCTTCTTCTTATTATTATTATTCGTATGAGACCTGGGCACCCTGCTGCTGACCTCCCCTGCGGTGAAGGGGGACTCGTCTTCGGCGGCGCCCACAATGGGGCATGGGGGACGGGGGAAGGCTCCTTAGAGAAGGAGCTTTTATGTTGCATCTTCGGGGGACCTTGTCTGTCCTGTCGCGCCCCTATCCGCGTCGAATCCGTGTCGAATCTATGTTGGACTCGTCGGATCCGTGCCGAATCCGTGTCGAATCCGCGTCGGGTCCACGCCAAATCCGCGTCGAGTCCGCATCGAGCCGCGTCGGGCACAAAAAAAGATACCGATTTTGCGGACAGGCAAGGTCCCCCGAAAATGCAACGTAAGAGACTGCTCCTCAAAAAGGCGCTGGCCGGGCCCTGCATCTACACAGACAGGGTCCGCGCCTCCTGAGGAGCCTTCGCCCCTCCACGTATGCTTAGGTCGGGCATGTCCTCCTACATGCGGATTTTGGAAGAGAAATAAAGCATAGTCACATAGCCAAACCATATTCAAAAATGGTCATCAAATACAAGGAAAACGCCCCCTGACGATTTCTTCGCTATGTTTTCAAAACAGATTCCTCCTGTAGAGGGACATGACCGACTGAAACCTATGCCCGCCTCTGCGCGTGGCCGAGCTCCAGGCCCCCCCGCTCCGCGCACGAGGCGGCACGCGAGGCGCGGCGCGGCGCGGCGAAACCTTCGCGCGCCCGTGCGCCGCAACCCCGCGGCGCGCGCAGCGCGACGCGCGGAGCCTGGCTATGGCGCTGGCGCTGGCGTGGGCGTGGGCGTGGGCGCGGGCGCGGGCGTGGGCCTGGGCGTGGGCGTGGGCGTGTGCGTGGGCCTGGGTGGGTGAGGGCGCGGGCGTGGGCGTCGGCGCCGCCGGCGGCCAGCGCCGGCGCGCCCTCCTGGAGGTGGCCCAGATTACTGACTTCCTGGGTGGCAGCGACAGGGGGGGGACTGGCACAGGGGGGGACACCTCGACATGGAATCGGCGATGCATCGCCGATGGCCCCGGTCGCAAGTCCGCGCGTTCCTGGGCGGGTTCGGTCTATCGGGCCCACATCGGCGATCAATGGGCAACTGGGGGTCGATGCGTCCCCCCTTGTGCCCATCCCCCTATCGCTGCCCCTGACTTCCGCAGGACGATAATTGTGCCATGATGCGATGGGCTCAGGATCCGTCCTGGGAGTTCTGGACATTCTGGCGACCCCCGGCCTCTCGTCATTGCCCAACTGAAACCTATGCCCGCCTCTGCGCGTGGCCGAGCTCCAGGTCCCCCCGCTTCGCGCACGAGGCGCCCCGCGAGGCGCGGCGCGGCGCGGCGAAACCTTCGCGCGCCCGTGCGCCGCAACCCCGGGGATCTCGTAACTGGCCGTTCTCGGGGATGGGCAGGACCCCATTGCGCAACACGCCCTTTAGTGACAGCTGCTAGGGGCACTCCCCGTGCGCACGGCGCGACATCCCGGCGGAACGCATGTCGATCAGCGGAACCGACTGCGGACTGCACCGGCACACTCGAATACCAATGTCGAGTGAGCCAGCGCGGAGTTGCTCTGTCGACTTGTTTGAGGGGGCGCTCTTAGAAGCCTCCCAGATAGGATTCGAGTAGATGGGGTCGGAGGATCGCGCCACATCCCCGATGCATCGCCGATGCATCGGCGATGCATCAGCGCCGTCGGCGATGCGTCGGAGACGACGGCGTGGAGAAGATCGGCCTCCACATCGAGCCGCATCGGCAATGCGACGCCAACCTCCGACACAGTCTACTCCGACACCATCTGGAAGGCTTTCCACACACGAACGAGCATAACGCGGCGAGCGCGCACTGCGAGTAGTAGAAACGCAATGGGAAAAAAAAACCATGGTAATCTTCACTGCTCTACGCATCCGTCGCGTAGTAGAGAGCGAGATGGCGAAGCAACTGGTCTGTCAAGTATTAGGCTGCGCCTTTGACAATCCCACTCTGGAGCGAAAGCGGCAGCCGCGGGAGAGGGGGACGAAGAAGAAACGAAGAGAGCGAAAGCGATGACCAAAGTTACAGACCACCCGTACCAAAAGGATGCGCGGTAAGGATGCAGGGGCCTTGGAGGGCCACGCTCGAGTCTTTCGAACGAGGTTGGCCAGCGAGAACCGCAAAGGATGGGCCGAAGGGGCAATGATGCAAGGGTAACCTTGGGAAGAATGCCCATCCTTGGTATGCGGGTTGACCGTACAGCGGGTCCTCAGACCCTCAGACCACACCGTGGACCGGTCACCCCGTTTGCCTGGCCCTCCCCCGAGGGCAGAGGGGGCCACCCCGCTGGCCTTAGGTGGGGCATGTCCTCCTGGAGGTGGATTTTGGAAGAACACGATGACAAATAGTCAGGAGATGCTCCAAGAGACGCAGACTATTTTTGCTCGACTAGTTTTGAACACTCCTCCTGTAGAGGACATGCACGACTGAACCCTGGCCGCTCCTGGCGTGCAATGGCCGCCGCCATCGGCTCCGGCAGGGGGCCCTGCTCCACCAGCCGGTTGCCCACGTCGCCACCCTCGAGGTGCTCCATCACGAAGAACCTCGGCGGGAGGCGCAGGGTCCGCCTCCTCCTCCTCCTCCTCCTCCTCCTCCTCCTCCTCCTCCTCCTCCTCCCCCTCCTCCCCCTCCTCCTCCTCCTCCTCCTCCTCCCCCTCCTCCTCCTCCTCCTCCTCCCCCCCTGCTTCCTCCTCCTCCTCCTCCTCCTCCTCCTCCTCCTCGTCCCCCTTCTCCTCCTCCTCATCCTCCTCGGAAGGGGGCGACGAGATCTATACACAAACCTGTGCGACCACACGTCGGGTTCTCCTCCTCCTCATCCTCCTCGGAAGCGCCGCATCCCCGATGCATCGCCGATGCATCGGCGATGCATCAGCGACGTCGGCGATGCGTCGGAGACGTCGGCGTGGGGAAGACCGGCATCCACATCGACGAGGCTGAAATGACCATCACTTTGAGCTCAGGGTGGGGCTCTGGTTTTCGGGCTGCTCATCTCTAGGCCTCCTACATGGGGTCGGAGTCGATTGGGTCGGAGGATCTCGCCGCATCGCCGATGCATCGACGATGCACCGACGATGCACCTCGCCCCCCCAGCCTCCGCTCCGCCGCCAGCCTGGCCGGGCGCCATCCTGGGCCCAGGGGCGGTGCCGGCGTTCCCTCGGCTGGGCCACGGGGAAGCGCCTGCATCGCGCCGGGGCCCAGGGGCGGGCCTGGCCAGCCTGGCGGCGGGCACGTAGAGATCTCTCGTCAGTCTAAAAAGTATCCAGACGCCTCAGATCGGTCTGCTATCAGACTGCGACCGAAAAACGATTTGCACTCCTCAAGTTGCTGCTGATGAGAGTGAGTTTTGCGGAAGATGGCTTGAGATGCATGCCGTTGCCCAAGGAAATATGTCTGGAGGCAGGATAGGCCCTACAGGGGAGTCGGTTGGGAGACTGGGTTTCTCGGGAGGTTGTTGATTAATGGGGGGCTACACTCAGGTCGGACATGTCCTCCTACGGGCTTGGGATGACAAATCTGCACCACTGCATGAACCTACTCAAAAGTGATAGAAGAAAATGATCAAACTCGGCCCCAGACTATTTTTTTACTATTGTTGAATCTTCCTCCTGTAGAGGGACATGCCCGACTTCAGGCTACAAGAGGTGGGATGAAAAGACTAGCACCGTTCGCGTGCACCCTGTTGGCCCTCGGTGGTGGTTCCCGGGCCGTAGGCCCACGTTCCTATAATCCTCGATCCAGCTATGTTCACCTCCTCCTCCTCCTCGTCCTCCTCCTCCTCGCTCCTCGTCCTCGTCCTTCTCCTCCTCCTCCTCCTCCTCCTCCTCGCTCCTCCTCGTCCTCCTACTCCTCCTCCTCCACGCCCGAATTTCGGACAACCAGCCCGAGCAGGGTCCCCTGAGTCGTTGCGCCTGCTGAGGTCTGCGGACAAAGTTCGGATGGGTAGCTGCACTCGCGGCCTCACGAGTGCTGCCGACTTGCTGCTCGAGCATGGGAGGTGGTATCCCACCCGTGCGCGCCGAAATCCTTACAACACAACTGTGGGTCAATGCTGTTCCAGACTCTTCCAAACGTGTGAGAAACCACAAGGTGAGCGTTTCCATGTTTTAATTCGAGCGTTCGACACTGGGCGGAGGGTGGGAGCGGGGCGGGGCTGGCTCCGGACCTCTGCGTGGTGCGGCTGTTAGGGACAGCGCGTCCTGTGGGGGAGACTCCACCTGTTCGAAACAGGCGCCCAAAACAGGCAGATCCGCTCCAAAGAGGGGGGGGAGGGGGGGGGACGAGGGCTCGCGCCCATCGGCAAAACAATGAATAAAACAACGGCCACCAAGCTGTTAAATGAACATCTGTTTGCCTTCTTGCGTTTCCGCGCGAGTGCACTTTCGCAAGATCACCCTCATCAGCGCCGCGCCGCATGACCACCGTTATCGTCGTCGCCAGACGCAGCCATTGCCGCCATCACCAGTCATTCACCTTCATCTCTGACAAATGAATATCATCATCGTCATCGTGGTCACCAGCATCGTCGCCGTTATTGGCCTTGCGGTCGTCATCGCCATCGCCGCCACAAGCGTCGCAACTGTCATCATTGTAGCCGCCTTTGTGGACATTCTCATGATACTGCGCCCGCCCGAACTACCGACCCGCACTGAAATGCCAGCGCGCGCCAGCGCGGCCTTTGAGACGCGCTGGGAAGCTTCCATCAGTAAGCGCCATCGCAGCCGCACCGCTCGTGTTTAACCAGCTGGCCGCTCTGCACGTGAGCTTGCGCGTGCGGGCGCAACCGCAGAGATGCGCCAGCCAGTGCCGAATAGTCACCGCAATCGCGGCCGCATGGGTTGTGCAAAACAAATTGCGGGTGGGAGGGTGGGATGATTGTGCGAGCAGCGGAATTGACGACTCAAAGACGGTGGACTGCAACGCACAGATCGCCCCCCGCCGCTTGCATCACACACACACAGCTTGTACCGCATGGGTTACACGACAAGAACAAGAGAACGCCATGAGCCTAAACTCTTGGAGCTCAGCGCGGATTTCTTGGATCCGCTTCGGACCCCCCTCCCTGGCGCGCGGAGCGCACCAGGGGCTGCGCCGGAGGGGCCGCCAGGGGGGCCCAGCGCAGATCCAAGAAATCCGCGCGGACCGCCAAAAGTTTATGCTAATGCTTTTTCCCCTCATTCGAACGACACATACATATACATTTAGATACAAATATATATGCATATACATATATATATACACATATACATATATATATATATATATATATATATGTATTGCACCCCGTACGTTGCACCCGAAAGATTGCACCTCACAACGCCTATCCCATAGGTTGCACCACGTACGGTGCACATCGAGAGAGCGGGAGCCCACGGTTTGGATTCGACGCCCCCGGGCGGACTGCGCGAGAACGTCGCCAACGCCCAGGGCGCCAACGAGGCGCTCTCACGGGTGGACCTCGGACGAAAAACCCAGAAACACGCAACCAGCACTGGACCCACGGCCAGACACCAACCAATCTCCCAAGAAATCAACACAGAGCCTCTCAATGCAAGCACTACTCGGAGATTACAAAGCCATGTAGATGTGCACATCACAACGTGTGTGATACCTTAATTGTATAAGGGGGGAGTGCCACTGCCACTGCGGCGTGCATTGAAATAAGATGTCGGCCCGGCCGGGCGAGGAACATATGCCGCCCTTTGGCGTAGGTCTCGAAGAGCTTACAGATGCTGGGATGGTCAAGGTCCTCACCGGGCGACCAGACGGGATGAGGGGGGAAGGCAACAGCAATAAAAGAAGACAACTTGTCATACGCATCAACCGTTGGACATCCCCGCGAAATCTTTGCATCGGCATTCGATCCCCCTATCTGAGCGCGCCGGGGCTGCTGCCAGAGGCGCCCCCAGGAGCACTGCATGGGGGTTCAGCGCCGATCCAAGAACTCCGCGCGGACCACCGAAAATACATGCTTATGGAGCGACTCCTTCGTCCGCAAACAACAGACGGGGATGCTTCGATCTTGTCCCAAACATCTTGTGGTGTTGGGTCTTCGTTTTGACGAGACAGCACCCCGCAGCCTCCTCTCCTCCTGCCTCCTCCCATCCTTGCCTCTGCCTTCCGCATGTACATTACAGGACACCCGTCACACGTTTCGAGGCCCCACAGGGAGCTCCACCGAAGGTCAAAGTGGCGGCGGGTCTCGCGTGCGTCCCTCGCACACATGTCGGAACACCCCTCACGATCTTCATGGCCGCATATGGTGGCCCTGCCGAAGGCCCCAATGGCGGCTCTCGCGCGCGTGCCCCCCCGAAAACATGTCGGCACACCCCGGCACACCCCCCACACGCTTCGTGGCCCCATAGGGAGCTCCGTAGAAGGCCCCAATGGCCGTTCTCGCATGCGCCCTCCGCACCCTTGCCGGCATCATAAGTTTCGTGGCCCCACAGGGAGCTCCACCTCCCCCGCACCCTTTTCGGCACACACACACACACACCTTACACGGCACAACCCTCACACGCTTCGTGGCCTCAACAGGAGCCCCACCGAAGGCCCCAGTGGCGGTTATCGCATGCATCCCCCGCACCGATTTCGGCACACCCCTCACACGCTTCGTGGCCTCATAAGGAGCTCCACCTAAAGGCACCGAGCTAGGCTCCCTCACACGCTCCGTGACCCCATAGGGAGCTCCACAGAACGCCCCAATGGCCGTTCTCGCATGCGTCCCCCGCACCCTTGCCGACATCCTCATAAGATTCGTGGCCCCACAGGAGCTCCACGGCGCACCCCTTGCACGGCTCGTGGCCCCGAAGGGAGCTCCACAGAAGGCCCCAGTGGCGATTCTCGCATGCGTCCCCCGCGCCCTTTTCGGCACACCCCTCACACGCTTGGTGGCCCCAAAGGGTGCTCCACAGAAGGCCCCCATGGCGATTCTGGAATGCGTTTCCCGCACCAATTTCGGCACACGCCTCACACAGTTCGTGGTCCATAAGGAACTCCACAGACGCCCCAAGTGGCGGTTCTCGCAGGCGTCCCCCGCACCGATTGCGGCACACCCCTCACACGCGCTTCGTGGCCCCATGCGGGCGCTCCACAGAAGACCCCAATGGTGGTTCTCACATGCGTCCCCGGCACCCTTGTCGGCAAACCCCTCGCACGCTGCGTCGCCTTCTAGGGGACCTCACCAGAGGCCCGAATTGTTGCTCCCGCGTGGGTCTCCCGCACCGATCGCGGCACACCCCTCACACGGTTCGTGGCCCCATAGGGAGCTCCACAGAAGGCGCCAGTGGCGGTTCTCGCACGCGTCCCCCGCGCCCGTGTCGGCATATCTTTCACACATTTCGTCGCCGCATAAGGGGCCCCATCGAAGGCTCCAGTGGCGGTTCTCGCGTGCGTCCCCCGCGCCAACCTCGGCACCACCCTCACACGCTTCGTGGCCTCAACAGGAGCTCCACCGATGGCCCCAGTGGCGGTTATCGCATGCGTCCCCCGCACCGATTTCGGCACACTCCTCACACGCTTCGTGGCCCCATAGGGAGCTCCACCGAAAGCCCCAGTGGCGGTTCTCGCATGCGTCTCCCGCACCGAGCTCGGAACATCCCTCACATGCTTCGTGGCCCCACAGGGAGCTCCACAAAACGCCCCAATGGCAGTTATCGCATGCGTCCCCGCACCCTTGTCGGCACACTCCTACGTTTTGTCGCCCCATAAGGGGCTCCACCGAAGGCCCCAATTGTTGCTCTCGCATGCGTCCGCACCCTTGTCGGTGCACCCCTCACACGCTTCGTGGCACCATGGGGAGCTCCACAGAAGGCCCCCAATGGCGGTTCTCGCATGCGTCCCCCGCACCCTTGTCGGCACACCCGTCACACGCTCCGTGGCCCCGTAGGGAGCTCCACCGAAGACGATGCTCACAACTGCGCTATCCACCACTGCATATGATTGGGTCATTTGCAAGGCCATGTTCTGCGGCAAGTGCCGATCGGGGCGTCCTTGGCAGCGTGTGCAGCGCAACGTGGGCGAAGCGAGAGCCAAACGAGCACGCGCGGCACAGGCGTACCGGAGGTCCTTCGGGGTCTCCCCAGGTCTGTGGAGGTCCCGGGGTGCCTTGGGATACCTGCAGAAACGGGGAGCAAGGCAGCACGGGAGAAGGGACGCTGTTTTTCCCAACCATCCGATGGTGTCGGGTCCTCGTTTTGAAGGGACAGCGCCCGCGTCCTCCTGCCTTCCTTTTCCTCACGCTGCCTCCCCTCCCTCCTTGCCTCTGCCCCTTGCATGTCTCTGTTTCGGCACACCCCTCACTCGGTTCGTGGACCCATGGGGAGCTCCATCGAAGGCCCCAGTGGCAAAGTTCGCATGCAGTTCCACCCCCGTGTCGGCGCCCCCCACAGGGTTCGTGGCCCCATAGGGAGATCCACCGAAGGCCCCAGTGGCAAAGTTCGCATGCAATTCCACCCCCATTTCGGCGCACCCCTCACACGGTTCGTGGCACCATAGGGAGCTTCACCGAAGGCCCCCGTGGCAGAGTCCGCATGCAGTTCCACCCCATATCGGCGCACCCCTCACACGGTTCGTGGCCCCATATGGAGCTCTACTGCATGCCTTAGTGGCAAAGTTCGCATGCAGTTCCACCCAATTTCGGCGCAGCCCTCACACGGTTCGTGGCCTGGGAGCTCCACCGAAGGCCCCAGTGGCAGAGTCCGCATGCAGTTCCACCCCCATTTCGGCGCCCCCGACAAGGTTCGGGGCCCCATAGGGAGCTCCACTGAAGGCCCCAGTGGCAAAGTTCGCATGCAGGTCCATCCCCGTTTCGGCGCACCCCTCACACGGTTCGTGGCCCCATGGGGAGCTCCACAGAAGGCCCCAGTGGCAAAGTTCGCATGCAGTTCCGCTTCCATTTCGGAGCACCCCTCACAAGGTTCGTGGCCCCATCGGGAGCTCCACCGATGACAGTACTTACCATTGCGTTACTCACAACTGCGTATGGTTGAGTCCTTCGCCAGGCTAATTTTTGTTGGAGCAGGGAGGAATTTATGTTCTTCTACGGCGTTTTCTCCTCTTCGATGTTTTCGGTGGAGCAGGAAGAAATGGGCGAGCAAGAGAGAACAGATCAGGCCGCAGCCCAGGCGGGTGGCGTGATCTGCGGACGCTTGTCCAGGTTCGATCCCCCTTCGCGCTGCGACCTGATCTCCTCCCTCTCGCCAGGCTCGGAGGAGTGAGAAGGGAGGAGGGAGGAGGAGGAGAGGAGGAGGAGGAGGAGGAGGAGGAGGAGGAGGAGGAGGAGGAGGAGGAGGAGGAGGAGGGGAGGAGGAGGAGGAGGAGGAGGAGGAGGAGGAGGAACGAGGGAGGGTGGAGGACCGGATCGACTGGGCAGGAAGGAACGTCGAGATTCACAGCGCCGCCTGGGCCCCTGCGCAGGGGGGCCACAAGTTTGGAGCAAGATCCTCAGGTAACGGTTTTGGTAATCTGTGTTTGCGGCCCAGCCAGACGGGGAGGGTGGAAGGAGGGAGGAGGGTGAAGGGGGAGATGGAAAAGGGGGCAATGGGGTACGTAGGAGGGAGATAGCAGGGGAGGAGAGATGAGAGAGGGAAGGCGAAGGGAAGGAGGAAGGAGGGAAGGAGGAAGATAGCAGGAAGGAGGATGAGAGAGGGAAGGCCAAGGGAATAAGGGAAGGAGGGAGCAGGAAGGGAAGGAGAGCAGGAGAAAGAGAGAGAGAGAGAGAGGGACGCCGGGGTGTCCTTGGTGAAACCGGGCCGGGCCGTCAACAGCAGGAAGCGCCAAGACCCTCAGCCATCAGAAGCTACAGGGAGACTTCCCCTTCTCCGAGTTCTCCTGCGCCTCCTTTTCTTCGTCCCCATCCTCCTGCAAAAATTCACCCCCGACCCTCCAGGATGGAGGATGGGGGGGTTCCGCTGTTTTCGGGACTCCAGGGGCCTCCGGCGGAAGCAACATTTATCACCTTGGCCTTCTCCTCCCGCTGCTCTAGCACCTCGAGGGGGAGGTGGCAAGTATCGCAGCATCGAGATGCTGGCAGCAGCCCGAGGACGTGACCAAAGAAGGTCCCTCTCCACGACGCGCCTTGGGTGGTGGCGCACTCTGAATCACCGCTGGGCCTGCTGCAACGCAGGACGCAAGGACAATTGCACAAACATGCTGGACAAACTGCTCACGAATATCAGCTACGTAAGCAAACACAAGAGAGATGAAGGGAAGCACCGCAAACAAAGTCCTTCATTATCTGAACCTCTCGCTTGATAATCTCGGTCGTGTGATTGGCCGTATCGGTGCGCACAACCTGCGGCAAACAAAATCACGCTGGCATGCATCACGCAGGTTGCTGGCTAATTTCTTAACCATCCTGTGGTGTTGGGTCCTTGTTCTGACAAGACAGCGACCCGCGTCACCTCCCGCTGCCCGCTCCCTCCTCCATCCCCCTCGCACGCTTCGTGGCCCCATAAGGAGCTACATGGAAGGCCCTGGCGGTGGTTCTCGCATGCGTCCCATTCCGGCACGCCCCTCACACGCTTCGCGGCCCCATAGGGCAGGGAGTTCCACCGTAAGCCCCAGTGGCGATTCTAGCATGCGATCCCGCTCCAATTTTGGTACACCCCTCACGCTCCACAGCAGGCCCCAACGACGGTTCTCGCAAGTTTCCCCCGCGCCCATTTCGGCACACCCCTTCCACGCTTCGTGGTCGCATAGGGAGCACCACAGAAGGCCTCAGCGCCGGTTCTCGAACGCGTCCCCTGCGCCCACTTCGGCACAACCCTCACACGCTTCGTGGCCTCATCAGGAACTCCACCGAAGGCCCCAGTGGCGGTTATCGCATGCGTCCCCCGCACCCGCTACGGCACGGCCCTCGCACGATCCGTGGCCCCATGAGACGCTCCACCGAAGAAGCTGCTCACAACTACAGTGTTCACGACTGCACTTCGAAAAGCCTGAACCTCCTCCTCCTCCTCCTGCTCCTCCTCCTCCTCCTCCTCCTCCTCCTCCTCCTCCTCCTCCCCCTCCCCCTCCTCCTCCTCCTCCCTCCTCCCCTCCTCCTCCTCCTCCTCCTCCTCCTCTCCTCCTCCTCCTCCTCCTCCTCCTCCTCCTCCTCCTCCTCCTCCTCCTCCTCCTCCTCCTCCTCCTCCTCCTCCTCCTCCTCCTCCTCCTCCTCCTCCTCCTCCTCCTCCTCCTCCCCCGTCTGGGACGCCGCGGGCCTTCTTCACGGCCACCAGCCGCCCCTTCAGGAGCTTGTCGCGCCCCACGCGCACGGTGTTGCCGCTGCCCCCGCTGCCCAGCTCGTCGTCCAGGAGGTCCGGCGGCTCCCCCGTGGGGCACAGGGGGCGTCTCCAGAGAGGGACCCCCAGACCCAGACATGATCGCGTCGTGAAGACACCAGGACGGCAAACGTTTCGCTATTTTCGCCCCCTGGGGCCTTAGGGCCTTTGCCGGCCCCGGGAGCTTCAAAAAACGACTCAGGATGAAAAACCGGCCCCTGGGGAAATAGTCTGGACGTCCAAGGACGCCGTTCTGCAAACATCTCGCAGTCGCATGTCGGGGGACACTCTCTCGTCGTTGAAATTCAGGATGCGAAGTTATTCGGCCCTCGCTTACCCTGGGGGGTTCCTCGTAACGGGCTGGGGGCCCCGTGCTACAAAATCTGGGCATCGCATGTCTGGGCCTGAATTCCCAAGGCCCGAGGGGGAGCGATACGAGGGGACTGGCTCAGGGGGGGAGGCATCGAGCTAGAATCGGCGATGCATCGCCGACTGATCGGGGATACAGTCAAGCCGCATGATAAGCGTGTGCGGTAAGGATGCACGCAAGGGCCTTGGACGGCCACGCCGACACTTTCCGAGCGGGGCGCGGCCAGCAAAAGCGGCCAAGGATGAGCCGAAGGGGAAGGATGCAGGGGCAACCTTGGAAAATCACTCATGCTTACTATGCGGGCTGACTGTAAGCCCCCGAGAACAACTCTCCGTTCCTCGGCGGGGTGGTCTATCGGGCCCCTGCTTACGAGAAACGGGCGATCGGGGGTCGATGCGTTCCCCTGGGAGCCTAATACCCCCCTCCAAGGATACTCCTGCCATGGGGTAGGGAGGGCCTCGCCTTTCCCAGGCCCCCTCGAGTCGCGGAGAGACAGCATCTCTGCGGTCGTGTCCAATCCATCTTCTGTCTCCAGCACGGGGCCCTCGGCTGGCACCTCGGCTGCCAAGGAATCAACCACACGCAAGAGTGACCCTGGGCAAGAGTGACCTGTGGTGCGCGCGGCTTTTTGGAGGCCGCGGGGGGGGGGGGGGGGGCAAACACAAGCGCGCAAGACGCTATACTATCGCACCGCGTTTGACGATCGGGGGACCTCAGTGGGCCCGCACCAACGGTCACTCTGGCGAAAGGTCACTCTCACGTGCAGTCGAACCTCGACTGCCAAGGAGGGCTCCAGGAATTCGCGGCGAAGAACGGTATAACGCAAACCCTTCCGCCGTCGGGGACGCCTGCCCCCGGGGCGGCTGGAAAGCTTACGCGGAAAAGTGTATGCTACACCTTGCTTCGCCCACCTGGAGGATGGGGCCCTTGGCTGGCACCTCGGCTGCCAAGGCAGGGCTCGGAGGAGGAGGGGGGAGGACAAGCTAGGTGCGCTCGCGTCATATCTGACGTACTACCCCTCCCTCCCACCCCTTACCATGGTGTAGATATCCTCTCTATTCGCACAGTCGGATATTGTAGCAGGGCATAGCATTACATGGCATAGCATGGTGTTCAAGATCAACGCGTAGCCTGACGCCACAAAGTGGGCGCGGGGCTTTTGCGGCCCAAAAAATCAACGAATCGGCCCCGAATGTGTGATCACTTCCGATGGTTGCTTCGGGGGGCCATTTTCTAGGTTTGGGGTCCTATTTGGAATGACAGAAAAACCATGCCGTGGCATGGCGCTGGAAATAATGACGCCAGCGCTGCAGCGGGAGCACGATTCGGAACGAGCGGAAGCGCGGACACAAAGCCAGCGCTGCAGCGGGAGCACGATTCGGAATGAGCGGAAGCCCGAACATGATGCCAACGCCTCAGCGAGAGCAGCATTTTGACGAACAAACGCAAGCAAACACCCAACTCGCCGACATCCTGTGTGGAAAAAATAATGCGCGAGGGGGGGGGCGAACACTCCGAGACAGATTCCGCCACAGACTCAGGGGAGAGAGGAGAGTAGTAATCATATTGAGTTCTTGTGGAGGAGGAGGGGGGGAGGAGGAGGAGGAGGAGGGGGGGGAGGAGGAGGCGGAGGAGGAGGAGGAGGAGGAGAACGAGGAGAACGAGGAGAACGAGGACAAGCCGGTCCCTGTGACGCGGGCGAAGCCTCCGGGGCCCCCACGCCGCGAGAAAACAGGGCGGCGCCGAGGGCATCTCTGGGCCTGGCGCCTCGAGCTCCTCCGTCCCTTGACGGAGGATGAGGAGGAGGAGGAGGAGGAAGAGGAGCAGGAGGAGGAGGAGGAGGAGGAGGAGGAGGCAGGAGGAGTTATGAGAAAGAGAAGCAGGAGGAAGAGGTAGGAGGAGGAGGAGGAGGAGGAGGAGGAGGAGGAGGAGGAGGAGGCCTGCGACGCCAAACATGGCGAACAAACTGCCGCCACGACATCCCCACGGCGCGAGGCTCTCCGGCGGCTGCGCCGCATCGGGCCACGCGTCGGGCCGCTCGCTCCGCTCGCTCCCGGGGCGGCCCTCCCAAGCAGGAGCCACAAAAAGGCGACACCAACACCACCAGTGCGAGGAGATGCGCGAAGCAAGGTGGCGGTGTGCCCCCCCCCCCCCCGTCTCGCTGGAGGCATCCCCAGCCTCCAGCTCGAGGAGGCATCGTGGACCTCCTCGCTGGAGGTGGCCCCCCTGGTGGTGTCGGTGCCGCTCCTCCTCCCTCCGATCCAACAGTGGGGGGGCCTGGCGGGCCTGCGCAGGCCGCTGGGGATCATAGCGCTGGGTGATCTCGGTGCCCACCTGCCGAGAGGGACGGGGCGCGCGGTCGCAAGAGACCCTCGCGCGAAGCCCCGCCCGGGAAAAACGCGCGCAAGATTGAGGAGAACCGTTACCGTGTTGGGAGAGGAAAGGGTGGGGAGCTCAGTGGGCCCCGGAAACGGCAGGGCAGTTTTTTTCACCGTTTCCGAAAAAGTGTCCCTTGAAAATGGAAACAGCAAAAAAACGGCGACCAAAACGGCTCCAGGATTGGAACCGGAGCCGGAACCGGTCAAAACACGGCGACGGAACCGGTAAAACAACGGCGTCGGAACCGGAAAAAAACGGCAAAACGGAACCGGTAAAAAAACGGCCCTGTCGTTTCCAGGGCCCACTAAGGTTGGGAGGACGAAAGGTGGGAGCACCAGCATCCGGATCCAATGAAGAATACCTTCGGCCGCCCACGGGCAAGGATATCCTCCTTTCTCCTGGCCCCATCCTCCCAACCCGATAGCTGTCCTCCTGAGTGATGCACACGGGCGAGACACCCAGAGCACCCTGAGCGCGGCAGGAGGACCCGTCGCATCTACAAGAAACGTGCAGGATGCCCCAGGATCTACGGAGCACTCTACGTACTCTTTTCGCAGATCTGGTGGAAAAACAGCTTCGGGCAAGATCAATTCTGCAGTCCATCCCCTAGTCGACGCCAGGGGACGAAGACGCCAGCGAACACCGACGGTAACGGCGGTAACGGCGGGCAAGCGACAACGACGACAGGCGAGATGGCACCGACAGGCGAGAGCCATCACCAGCACGGCGGCGGGGCGGCGAGGTGGAGGGCAGGAGCGGGCGGCGCCGGCTGCGTGCGCGCAGGGGGGAGGGGGGGTCGGGGCGCATATCGGCAGGGTGAACCAGCCGAGTGCGCGTGAAGCCACCGAAGTTGTACGCACGAGCGCTCCGCGCCCCCTGACCAGGCGGGCTGCGTGGTGCGGAAAGCTTCGAGTAGGGGATCGACTACAGAATTGGTTGACCCCTGAATGTAAAGTCCCGTCGAACCTTCGTTACAAAAAACGAAAAACATCGAATGGTCGTAGCTACACGAACAGCACATGTTGAGTTGTAGATTCGACGAGACAAACAACATGCTGGGGGAAATCAATGTTGTAGTCAATGCCCTACTCGAAAGCTCGCATAACGCATTGCCTGCGTGCCTCAATGACCTGCTTCTGCCAGCCGGGGGGAGATGGGGACGGGAAGCCGGTCTCATCGAGGGCGTCGCCGCCGCCGCCGCCGTCGTCGTCGTCGTCGTCG